ACTGAAAAGTAAAAATGGGAGCTTAATAGCATTGTCTTTGAAGATGGACTCTTTTTGAATGAATTGGCAGACTCTCTCAGAGGACCCTTTTGGTCTATTGCTTTATTTTACACAGTTAAATCAGATGGACGGATGGTTATAAGAGAGTAAGTAAAAGGGGCAGCTGAAGCATAAGAATAACAATCTCCACCAGGTTCCCTAGGAATTATGATGTGCTTCCCTGTCCCTGCTCCCATGCCCTAGAGACGGATGAGGGGTGAGAGAGACAGAAACTCCCTTAGACTTTGTGCTTTACCTTCCTTTCCACACTTTGGGATCCTTTCAGGCACATTGTTATTATCCCATTCAGTCCTCCACCCCACCCCCGTCCTTAGCCCCTACCCAAGACTCATTCCTTCTATCTGGCCTGAGTCCAGCTTTGCTCTGGGGTCTCCCATCCCCTTCAAGAAAACTTCCCTCCTCATTGGGAATAGTTCCTTAAGGATAAAACGTAGCTACCTTTTGAGGGCTTGCTATGCATGGTCCTTTACATACAGGACACATGTTCTCCTGAAACCCCACACAGCCTTGCAAGGGAAGGAATATTCTACCCTTTCCATGGATGAGACAACAAAACTTGAAGAAGTTGAATACCTTGCTCAAGCCACAAACTGGAAGGCGGCAGAAGCAGGATCAGCAGCTTCTGCCTGGACCATCTGGCTCCAAAGCCTAAGTAGCTTTCCACTGCACTGCTCTTTGGCCAGTGGTGAGCGGGGCCTCTTCCCTCCAGCTGAAAGGAATGGTCCTCTACTCAGCACAGATGCCTCCTGGCTGCGCCTGCCTCAAAGCAGAGCTCCCCTGACTGTCTCTGCCTCCTCTTCACAGCCAACTCCTTGCTTATGATGGGTTTAAGGCTTTGTTTTATTTTAAACATTAGCACTTTCTTTTCTTTATTGGTTTAAATATTATTTAAAAATCAATTCTAGCACATTATTTAAAAATTCAAACAATACTGAAGCTCAAAAAGCAGAAGTGAAAATGTCTGTTTACATCATCTCCTGGCTCCAGCCCTATTCTACTATAAGCTATTTGATGAATACTTTTCAGACTTTTCTATATGTATAGCCTATATAATAAAAGGCTAATATACAAAGTGTCCCCTCGACTGGGAGTTCAACTGGGGAGTTCAACCAGGAATTCGACCAGGGGGCGAGGCCTGCCAGCCAACTGCCTGTGGCCCCTTCCCCTGGCCACCCTCCCTCCAAACGCCCCCCCAACTCCGACCAAGGGTGGAACCAGCCTGTCAACCACCCATGGCCCCTCCCCCTGGCTGGCCCAGCCTGATCAGCCTCTTGTATATATACTAGAGGCCCGGTGCACAAAATTTGTGCATGGCTGCAGTCCCCAGGCCTGGCCAGCAATTGAAGCGTGAGCATCTGGCGTGGAAGGGCAGGTCCCAGCTGACCTCTGGGCCCTTGGCAGCACCTGGATCCCCGGACCCCCATGCGCCCCCCTCCACCAGAGTCACGGTGCCCGAGTCCCCACTTAGAGATGCGGTGAGCACGGCTGAATGCCGTGGGCTGGGGCACAGCGTGGGCCTCTGGGCCACCAAGCGACACTGCACAGAAGCTGAGCAGGCAGCACACTCTCTCCTGGCTGGCCTCACAGTCTGGCTCCTGCACAAACCCATAGGGAGCCCGACCAGCCCCTACAGTCCTGGCAGCTGTGGCCTGGCTCACCCAAAAAAGGCTGTGCAGGTGCGGGGTGGGCTCCCCACTGGTGCCCAGCACCTGAGCGTGGGGGCTTCCCCTGCGTGAGAGCCCTGGCGTCCCTGGGGGGGAGGATAGCAGGAGGAGTGAGAGCGAGCTCGGGCAGACACTCCGCATTCTCACCGCACCTCTATCTGATCACCCCCGCCCCCAGGTAGCCGGTGAGAGGTCGCATCATGTCACTGATGCCCACCATGTTCCGCGCTGCCCCCTGGTGGTCAGTGCACATCATAGCGAGTGGTCAAACTCCCAGTGGAACTCCTGGTTGAGGAGACAATTTGCATATTAGGCTTTTATTATGTAGGAGTGTGTGTGTGTGTGTGTGTGTGTGTGTGTGTGTGTGTAAGTGTTTAGGAAGTTTTTCTCACTTCTTAGAGTTCCCATAATCTATGTATCTTTATTCTAAATCATTGTCCATTCCAAAGCATAAGCTGTAAAGGATAAGATAAATGTACTTTTAAATTAATCTGTATAGACTTGACCAAAGGAACATCTCTTCTTGCTGGATTTATGGGAACACTTGAATAGGAGAAAGGGATGGAAGGCAGGATCCCTCTGGAGACCCCACGGTCACCAAGAGGGGAAGAGCAGTGAGCCGCAGGGAGGAGCGTGTGCTCACAGGCAGTTGGCCTGACCTGCCAGGGCGTGAACACACTCCACGGGCTGTGAAATCACTCACGTGTGAGTTGTCTGGTGCCAGGGAAAGGGAGGTTGTAGGAAGGGGAGGCAGGAAGGAAGAATGTGGGCTGGGCCAAGTTTAGAATTACAAGTGCCACAGGGGAGTTGGAACCACACTTTAAAAAGGCAGCACCTTCCCCTTCCCCCTTAGATAATTCTTCTCCCCGTGCCTGGACCACTGGCAGCAACTGCAAGAAGGTTAGTAATATTTTCTTCTCTTCTTTTTTGTTTTTGGGTCTCAGACTACAGGTTGGTGGGATCCCAGGACTTATAATCAAAGGGTTTTTTGATGCTCTCCTAGAAAATGTTCCTGACATTTATGTGTGCCCATGCAAAGAGTATATGCTATTTTCTTTCTGAAACTTCAGTGGTTGTTGACTTAAGGGACAATGTGATTTGGAGAAAGAGAATCCTAGATTGAGAGGGAAGACATTTGGGTTTAATTCTAAGAAAATGAAGGCTTTCTTCTCTGTAAAATGAGTTAAGATTGAAGAACATAAAAATTTTGATAGTATTGAAAGAAAAGAAAAATTTAAATACTTGTGATTCTACTAAGTGATTTCATATATATATGAAATAAGGGCATAAGTCATATATATATTCTCATTTAATCCTTATAGCTAAGTACATCCTATCATTCTCACTTTTACAGATGAGCAAACTAAGACTCAGAGTACTTCTTTTTCCTGAAGTCAGGCAGTAAGTGATATGGCTCAAAGCTAAAACCTGAATCCAGGCTTGTTTGACTCGATTCATAATGTCCTTTCAACTGCACGAGGCTACCTCTGAGAAGCAGAACCCTAACGAGGCCAAGGGACCCAGGATAGGGCTACTGTTTCTTATGGGATCTGGGAGGATGACGAAGTGAAGGGAGATGGTATTACATTAGGCAACCTTCTCTAAAGGACTGAAGAATCTTCTTGGAACCAGCTGCTTGCGTTTCTCCTTCTTATCCCACTAATAATCTCTGGAGTCCATTCCCTATTTATCAAATAAACAAAGGTCCTACTGTTTCCTGATGTTCTGGATCCCTCGGGTAGCTCAGCCTCAGGAGAGTCTGTGCCCAGCCGGGGCTCCGGCTGAGAAAGTTCCGTTAACAAGCACTTTTCTTGAGGTGTAGGAAAGAGTCCATTTGCCCACTGTTCCAGAAAAGGAGCCACTGTATACAATCAGGGAGAGTCATTAGAAGATGCTTATCTTCGACAAGCTGATACATCTAGGCAGCCAGTGCAATCAAGGAATGTAATTGAAAAACCAGGAACAGAGTGGGTTTAGGTCCTGGCTGTGCAATTACCAGCGGTATGGCAGCAGACACGCTATTTAACCTCTCCGAGCCTCAGTCTCTGCATTTACAAAGCAGAGGTAACACTGCTTACACCTCAGGGTTGTTGTGTGGATTAATGAGATAAATGTAGGTAAAGTGCTTTTTCCATAGTAGTTGCTCACCATGTATGAACCACATCCAATCTTATCCTCAATCCCAATAAGAGTCTAAAATAGAGCAGTGAAGGGTTTAGAATTCTTGTTCTTTATTCATTTTGTGTTGTCTTCTCTACGGTAACAGTTTCCTACATTTGTTATCACCCAAAAAGAAAAGAGCCCAGAGTCCATCTTTTCCTTAGGCTGATTTCAGAGAGAGATGGAGGAAGTAGCTGGAAAGATCAGCTCATCTTATTCAGGGTTCCTGGTCCCACTCAACCTCTCTCATTGCTTTGGGAGGAGCTTTTTAAAAAACTGGTTTACGAAATAAAATGTGTTCTTTGATAAAAGTGTAGAAAATATAGATAAGAAAAATTCCTATAATCCAAGGAGAGAAAAACATTTTTCTGGACATCCTAATCTTTCAATGCATATAAATATAAAATATTTTCCCAGCATAATCATATTGTATGACCTATTTTATAACTGTTTTCATTTCACATCTTGTGAACACTTTCATTCATTAGACTTTCTCCTTCAACACAATTTTTAATGATTATATAGTCGTCCATTGTATGTATGTACCATAATTTATTCATCTATTTGCCATTCTTACACATTTATGTATGTTCTAATTTTTTGGTGTTAAAAGCAATGAATATTCTTAAGCCAAAATCTTTACCCACAATCAGAATTGTTTTCTTTGAATAAATTCCTGCAACAGAAATTGGTAGTTGTCAGGATTTATAAAAAGTCCATCCCTTCAATGGTCCCCAGCATACAGAATAGAGACACTGAAGCTCATGCTGATACAGACAAGGGGAGTTGTGGGGTGGCAGGGAGAACGTAGCCCATCTGGAGCCTGTGTGAGTTCTCCCATGTCCACAAACCCAAGAGCCTGTGTGGTCGAAGCAGCATCTGTACACAGTAGCAGCCTTTCTTCCCGGCACAGGAAAGGAATATACATTTCAGCAGCAGTCTCCCAGCCTCTACCCATAAGGAGGCTTAAGGAGGACCTGCACCTGCAGACAAGGGAGTAGGAATGCACTCTCGTCCAGTGCACTTCTTCCCTTGGACATTTGCTGGTGAGGGATGGGAGCGCTTTCCTCCCGGAGTTCCCCAGTGACAGAGTGCCCTGCTTGTTTTCCAGGTGGGATGGATAGCCGGGTCTCGGGCACAGCCAGTAATGGAGAGACAAAACCCGTGTACCCTGTCGTGGAGAAGGCAGAGGAAGATGGCACCCTGGAACGCGGGCACTGGAACAACAAGATGGAGTTTGTGCTGTCCGTGGCGGGGGAGATCATTGGCCTAGGCAATGTCTGGAGGTTTCCCTATCTCTGCTACAAAAATGGGGGAGGTGAGAGCCGCTGCACCACCCCACCAATCCTGGAAGGAGGTGTCCCCGTCGCCTGCACTCACTGCCCCTCTGCGCGGTCCCAGAGACACATAGAATGCTGGCGTTGGAGAGACCCTTCCTTAGAATTCATTAAGGACAGACACTGCAGGAGCCTGCGACCTAAACAGATGGCGACTCTCCCAGGGGTGTTCTATGTTAGCAGGGCACCACGGAAATAGGAGTGCAGGCTCGGAACCAGATGGGCCAGAGTTTGGGTTCTGGCTCTGCCACTTGCTCTCTGTGTAATCTGGGACACGTTGTTTGAGTCCTCAGAGCCTCCACTGCTGCACCTGTAAAATGGGATAGTAATACCTGCAGGGTTGTTGTAAGGATTAGAGACAATGTATGTAAATGCCTAACGAATGGCAGCTATGTTGAAGATGATGTGAACACCAAGCTGTCCCATGATCTTGAGATTCCTGAGCCGTGGCTTTGTGTCTTCCTCTATTCTTCTGGTACCATGACATCCCCTAAGCCATTCACTACCTAACCCCCACCAGTGTCATAACCTTTGATTCCAGTGGCTCTTCCTTTATATATTTCCCACTGAAAATGTGTGTGTGGGAAGCATGAACTCTAACTTTAGTTCTTTGTTGGCTTCTCATTCCCTTCCATTCTCACGCTGGGGTAACTTTGCTACCCCTACAGCAGTGGTGGCCATTTCCCGACACTTTCAGGGAATCCCAGCTTGCTGTGGGAAGCCCCAGGGGGCTTTCCCAGGTAATGAAGGTTCTGGGTGAGCAACGGCTTAGGGAGATTTCCTTGCTGATGGTTGGGCTCCCAGGTTTGGTTTTGAAGTGAGGCTGCAGTCTGAGCTGGAAGAAGGAGAAATGCAGAGGCAGGTCACAGGGGGATATGGTGAGGGGAGTAGTACTTTCACGGGCCACAAGGATTAGAGAGTACCCTAATGCAACACCTACCATCTTGCAGGGGAGTAGCGGCCTCCAAAATGCATCGAGCTGTCTCACAATGGTTTTGGAGAGAGAGAAAACCTACAACACAGAGTGGAGGTGGGAGGAATGGGGAAGAGCACAGAGAGATGCTCTGAGCTCATAGTGTTATTCTCAGGGTTGTGGCAATTGGGGGTTGATTGGCTCTGGGATTGGAGGCTAACTTGTGTTTTTCCAGAGGGGTGGGGAGGGCTGATATGGCTTTTCTGTCCAGGAATTTCTGGCCAGCAGCCTGAACTCACAGGACTTTGTTCAGTCTGCATTGTGAAGGGAGGAGGGAGGGATTTTCACTTTTGACCTAGCCCTGGACACCCCACATGCTTGTTTAGGAATTTAGGCCTGAGCACTTTCCCTTCAGAGAATTGGGTGGAGGGACGGGGCTGGCGGAAGAAGGAGGAGGAGACCCTCTCTGGAGCCTAGTAACCAGCTTAGCTCCTCACGCGGCAGAAAGCTTAGGCGGTGAGCAGCTTTCCCCAAGCCTCTCTGGAATTGGGTGAAGGTTGGCTTGGGAATTAGCAGAACCGGCATGAAGATGTGGGAAAGAGTGATTCCCAGGCCTAGTGCGAGGAGTGATTCCCAGGCCTAGTGCGAGGCCACTAAGTGAAGAAGGGGAAGCCAAAGGCAGCAGTGACAGGAGCAGCGGAGGGTGTGGGGCTCACCCTGCTGGGGGTTGTGGTCTGGCAGCGTTTGGGTCTGGGCTCTGCCTCAGGGCTCTGGGGTAAGTCTGTGCAGACCTGGGTGGAAATGCAGGCCCAGGAAGAAAAGAGTATCCAGGCCCTTGGTTTTTCACATGGTGTTTGCAGGGGAGGTGGAGGCAGAAGGGTGGCTGCTGAGGCGGCTCCCTCCCGGATAGAGCCTGCCCTCCAGCACGCAGGCCACGATGGGCAGTGGAGACTTTTCTCGTTATTGACTCCTTACACCACCAGCCACAATCCCTTCCCTTGCTCAGCGCAGGGCCTCAGGACCCTCTTCTCTTTCCCTGAGGAAGGACAGCAGCTGGAGGGAAGTGTTCTGAGGGGCTTTGGAGCTAGAGGTTAATGCTTAGCTTTGCTGAAGGGCATGAGTCATTGGGGCCACCTGGTGAATTAATGAAAAGGCACCTTTGCCAAGGTAAGGGGGACTAACCAGGGATCCATATGATCGTTGGAGGAACCTGGACATGCCTGTTTTTCTGGTTTTGGGTGCTCCCAGTGGTTTAACCCCTCTGTCATCATTTAACTCCCCTCACCTCCCAAGCAGTACAAGCTCTTACAGAGAATGGGCCCGAGCACTTCTTGTCATCTCCTTGTCTCTTTGTCAATAAGAGACTGAGTCTCTTTTTTTAAATCCTCACCAAAGGATTTTGTTTTTCATTGATGTTTTTAGAGCGAGTGGAAGGGAGGGAGGGAGCGGGCAAAGAAAGAGAGAGAAAAAGAGAGAAAGAGAGAGAGAGACATTGATGTGAGACACATGGAAATTAGTTGCCTCCCACAGGCAGCCCAACCAGGGCCAGGGATTGAACCTGCAACCCAAATAGGTGCCAGGGAATAGAATCTGCAACCCTCCCGTGTTCAGGCCGACATGCTAACCACTGAGCCGCTGGCCAGGGCTATTCTTTTTCTCTAATTTTATGTTTATTATTGAGAGCATTATAGATGTCCCCCCATTTTCCCCCTTTGCCCCCCTCCGACTGGTACCTCTTTATGACAGGACCCTTTGCTGCCACTGTGAGGAAGGAGGGGGGGAAATGGAGAGCATTTAGATTGGTTTGGCCCCCTTTCTCCTGGTGGAGTTGTTTTATTTAGACCCGTGGTTCTCAGATTGGGGCTCGGGCTCTCAGCGGGTGAGGGGAATGTTCTGAACAAGTTCTGAAGAAGGATGCTGGGGTGCTGTGGGTGTACTGTGCTCAGGAACGTGTGCTCTCAGCCTGCCTCTGATAGCACCCATCCCCGTTCTCTAACGTCATAGCTTTAAATAGCTGCTTTTGTGCTTTGGGGTGAGGATAAGCTAGGACTTTATTATAACTAATATTTGTTCAGTGGCGAAGTCAGAGATGAAAAATTCCCCCAAACATAATTTCAGTTCCAAACTAGAAATACAAGTGATGTCTTCTTCTGTTCCCTGAAGCTCTAACATTTGGTAGATCCAATCTGAAGTGAGTTCCAGAGCAGGAAAAGGGCTGAGGCAAGATTATGATCAAACAACAGGTAAACATTTAAACATTGTAGCTGTAAACCAGAGAAGCTGAGAAAGTGGTATAAAGGCCATCCTGCCCTGGCCGGGTGGCTCAGTTGGTTGGAGTGTTGTCCTGTACACAAAAGGTTGTGGGTTCCATTCCTAGTCAAGGTGCATATGGGAGGCAACCGATTAATGTTTCTCTCTATATATAAAAAAAGAAAGAAAGGAAGAAAGAAAGGAAGAAAGAAAGAAAGAAAGGAAGAAAGAAAGAAAGAAAGAAAGAAAGAAAGAAAGAAAGAAAGAAAGAAAGAAGGAAAGAAAGAAAGAAAGAAAAGAAAGGGAAAAGGAAGCCCATCTGAAATCAGAAGCAACTAGCCACTCCAAGCACCTGCCTCATCCTAATGGCTCTCTAGAGTCTCTAATCTCAGTCAGGTGCCCCATCACATAGCCAACCACCCTGACCCTGACCCTGTCATTCAGTAACCATTACTGAGTACCGAGCATGTGCCAATCATTCTACGTGGTTGGGATGCATTTATAAACAAAAAGACCAATTCACTGTCCTTGTGGACTTATATTCTAGAAGAGGGAGACAAACATAGGAAATAGGGAATTTACACAGTCTATCGGAAGTGAATGAGAGCTGTGGAAAAGACCAAGCAGAGCTGGGTAAAGGGGGTCAAAAGTGTGGGTGGGTTGGTCACATCGGTCACATTGGAGCAAAGGCTTGCTGTGGTGGGAGAGTTGGCCCTGTGGTATGGGGCGGGGCCAGGGGGGGGGAGTTCTTCAAGCAGAGGAAACAGAAGGTTTAATGGTCCTAAAGCAGTGGTTCTCAACCTTCCTAATGCCGTGACCCTTTAATACAGTTCCTCATGTTGTGGTGACCCCCAACCATAAAATTATTTTCGTTGCTACTTCATAACTGTAATTTTGCTACTGTTATGAATCATAATGTAAATATCTGATATGCAGGATGTATTTTCATTGTTACAAATTGAACATAATTAAAGCATAATGATTAATCAGAAAAACAATATGTAATTATACATGTGTTTTCCGATGGTCTTAGGCGACCCCTGTGAAAGGGTCATTCCACCCCCAAAGGGGTCGCGACCCACAGGTTGAGAACCGCTGTCCTAAAGCAAGAGGCTGATTGGCTTGTATGAGGAGCTGCAGAGAGGGGAATAATTAGAAGGTGAGGTCAGAAAAGCAAAGAGAATGAAGTGGCAGATTGTGTAGGGCCTTGTCAGCTATTGTAAGACTGGCTTTTACTCAGTGACATGGGGAGTCATGACAGAGTTTTGAGCAGGGTTGGCATGGTCTTACATTTTATTTATTTATTCATTTATCTTTATTATTTATTATTTATTTATTTATTTTAGCATTTAAGGAACAAAATTCTGTTTTTCTTTTTTTAAAAAATATTTTTTTTATTGATTTCAGAGAGGAAGGGAGAGAGATAGAGAGATAGAAACATCAATGATGAGAGAGAATCATTGATTGGCTGCCTCCTGCATGTCCCCTTGCAAGAATAGAGGGGATCAAGCCCCCAACCTGGGCATGTGCCCTTCGCCAGAATCGAACCTGGGACCCTTTAGTCCACAGGTCAACGCTCTATCCACTGAGCCTGACCGGCTAGGGCAGCCGTAGGCAAACTACGGCCAGATCTGGCCCGTTCGAAATGAATAAAACTAAAAAAAAAAAAGACCGTACCCTTTTATGTAATGATGTTTACTTTGAATTTATATTAGTTCACACAAACACTCCATCCATGCTTTTGTTCCGGCCCTCCGGTCCAGTTTAAGAACCCATTGTGGCCCTTGAGTCAAAAAGTTTGCCCACCCCTGGGCTAGG